AGAGAGAGAGAGAGAGAGAGAGAGAGAGAGAGAGAGAGAGAGAGAGAGCGGTCGCCATGTTTGAGATCGAAAATTTCGGCTCGCTCGCGTCGCGGTGATCCGGATGCAACCATCGGAAACGCTGTCGATCACCGCGAGATCCTTTTCACGCTCGTCGAAGAGAAAGAAACTCGGGATTTGTCTCGTTTTACACAAAATCACTCTTACCGAGCGAGCGTAAAAAGGGCACGACGATCGCTAATCGATCGAAGCAGTGATGGACATTCGTGGGATTTTTCCTTCGAGGAATTCCTTTCTGCCCATGCGTAAGCTGACGTCACAGCTACATGTCGTCTGCTCTAAGTACGAGAGAGTGTTAGTGTTCGTGAGTGTAATATTAAGGAAAATTAAAAAGAAAATGGATAATGAACCGTAGCCGTCCACGTCAAGAATCATCGAGGAAAAGAAGAGGACGTTATACAGTGTGTTCCAAAAATGTTGTAACACGTTGAAAGGGGTGACCCGGAAGGTGATTTGAAACAACTTTTTCCTTATCGAAAATATTGTCCGAGGCTTTGTTTCGGAGATATTAACAGAAAACCACGGACCAATCAAAGCGCGCGTATACCGGTAGAGCGCTCGCTGATTGGTCCGGAGTTTTTCGTTAATATCTCCGCAATGAAGCCTCGGACAACATTTTCGCTAAGGAAAAAGTTGTTTCAAATCACCTCCCGAACCACCTCTTTCGAGGTGTTACAACATTTTTGGGACACCCTGTATTTTGTTCCTTACTGGGATCCAATGGTACCCTAAATTCTAAGCAAGTGTATACAGCAGTGAGGACTGCAACGCTCGGTCCAATGCGCATGATCAGGAAAAATCCCACGAATGTCCGTCACTGGATTGAAGGCTCGAGGCTTATACAGGGCCGATCAAGGCGTGGGCTTTAGGGACTACCGCCCAGAGACCTTCGGACTCACGACTAAGTCAATCCCCGTATGTATTCCGCGAGGAAGTTCTGGGTTCGAATTTTTTACATTACATTTACATTATTACATGCTTAAACTATTTTATCGATACGTCTCTCGTAACAATTGAAAAGGATGCCCCTCGAAAGCTCACAGATTCGCCGATGGCCTCGGGGAATACTTGGCTTCCGAGACGCTCACGCAAAGCAAACGTTTGAATTTTAATTGTTGTTAGTAAAAATAAATTTTCCCGTACGGTTACGTTTCATCTGTTTGAAAATATTACTGGGGAACCTCGCGGTACTCGTAGCCCAGGGGCCTACAAACGTTTCAATCCGGCGCTGAGCTTGTATGTATATATGTATAATATGTTTTGTAATGTATATATGTATACATGTATGCATGCGCGCATGTACATATACATATACGTATATATTATATGTACATTTTTCAAGTGAAGACCAATAATCGGTACGAAGCACGAGACGTTGAACGACGTTACGGAATCGGTCCGGAATATCGTACCGTGGCGCGAAACGGTTTTCTCTCACTTTCGTCCGTTTCCGTCCTCTTCTCCCTCGCTCTCGCCTCTTCTCCCGTCGCGTTCCATCTTCCTTTTTTCCGAGTTCGTTTCGTGGCTTCGTTCTTGCTCGCGTCGAACACCGTACGCGAACGAACAAGGGTTCTCGGGGTAATAGACGCGTCCTTGGTGGAGAGCCAGCCGATTTACAGAATTCGTACCGGTGGATGAATCGTCGCGAGGTATGTACAAGGACAGTTTTCTTTTTTATTTCTTTAACAGAGCCGTAAACTCCGATGCGAACGACCATTGGGTTTTGCCGATGGAATTAAGGTTACCGCGGGAGACGTGTTTCCGGGGTTGCCGGCGAGTGCTCGACGCGTCGAGCCGAGCGTGACGTCACCGAATCGCTCTGTCCTTGTTTCTCGTACGCGCCAACTTCCCCCTCTACCGTTCCTCGATACGTCACCCGTGGCTCGACGCGTTCAAAGCTCGACTGCTTTGGACCGTTTTCGCTCGACTGCTTTGGACCGTTTTCGCTCGACTTACGGCAACCCGGCGTGTTTCTATCGGAGCTTATTCCGTTTGCTCGTACTTCGAGTCACCCGCGGAGTTATCGTTCGCCCCCCTCCCTCCCCCCTGAAAGCGCCTCGCCCGATAACGTCGACTCGTCGTCGCGGAGGGTAGGGGGAAGTACGGCTCTCGCGTGCATTCCGTCTTCTTCCTCTTTTTCGTCCCGTTAATTTATCCTTCCCGTTCGACTATCGGGAACTATTTCTGTTTCGTATTTAATATTTTTTTTTATCTTCTCTCTCTCTCTATTTTTATTTCTTTTTTTTTTGTTTCTTTGTTTGTTTGTTTTCATGTTTAACGCATCTTCCTTCGGTCGCGCACGATTTTATAAGTCTACACAATCTTAAATAGTTTCGCGAGCTTGAGACGCGGTTTAAATATAGAGTTTACAGAGTAAGAATATAACCGGAGCGTAAAAAGATGCTTATAATGCGAGATTTTGTTTTTTTTTTTTTTTTAAGGGACGGGACGAGTGTGTGAAACGAGTAGACGTTTTTTTTCCGTTTTTCTTCTGGTTTTTTTCTCTCTCTTCCTTATTATTTTTTTTTCTTTTAAATATATATATATATATATATATTTAAGTCTCGTTCGGATGCATCGTTGCGCGCGCAATCGCGAAACGAAGGGGGCGAGAAAACGTTAACGTAAAAAGGTACAACGAGGATGACGATGGGGCGAAGACAATGGCAATAACGATAACGGTGGTACCGAGCATGCAAAAGACTTGATAACAGCAAGATATCATTAACGTGTGTTCCTCTCTGTGTGTGTATGTGTTTGTGTTTGTGCGTGTGTGTGTAATGCTTTAACCCTTTGCGGCGGGTCCACTCTCGCTTTACGAAACACTTGTACCGTTCCGGTCGTAGGTCGGGTACAGCTCGACGAACGCTAAATAATCGCTAAGCGGCAATAATAACAGTAACCAAGAGAACGATAGTTACGAACAATGTCTGACTAGAGGCGAGCGCCGCTTAGAAATCACCTCGACCAGCGGGATGGTTACGCGGCGGAGCGTCATGGCCGAAAAGGGTTAAATTTCGATGTCTCTCGTAACCCTTCGATTCGTTTTCCATTCGCGAGAACGCAACCCGTGTCTATCGAAGCCTACGTGAAATTAGTAGCAGTCTGCTTCGAGATAGTTTTCGCGAGGCGTTTCAATCTTTCGCTTTGTTTCTGAATTCCTAGAGAAGGACAGGTGGTATACAGGGTGTCCCAAAAATGTTGGAGATCTTTGAAAACGGTGGTTCGGGAGGTGATTTGAAACAACTTTTTCCTTGGCGGAAATGTTGTCCGAGGCTTCGTTGAGGAGATATTAACAGAAAACATCGACCAATCAGAGCGCGAGGATGCCGGTGGAGCGGCCGCGGTAGCGAATGAGCGCGGACGCCTAGTCGCTCCAACGGTATACGGGCGCTCTGATTGGTCGGGGTTTTCTCTTAATATCTCCATAACGAAGCCTCGGACAACATTTTCGCTAAGGAAAAAGTTGTTCCAAATCACCTCCACTCTGTATATACAGGGTGTCCCAAAAACGTTGTAACACCTTGAAAGAGGTGGTTCGGGAGGTAATTTTAAACAACTTTTTCCTTAGCGAAATTGTTATACGAGGCTTCGTTTAGGAGATATAAACGAAAAACTCTGGACCAATCAGAGCGCGCGTATACCGTGGGAGCGCCCGCTGATTGGTCAATGTTTTCTGTTAATATCTCCTAAACAAAGCCCCGGACAATATTTTCGTTAAGGAAAAAGTTGTTTCAAATCACCTCCCGAACCACCCTTCTCAATGACCTCCACCATTTTTTGGGACACCCTGTACAGGTGTGACGAAATCGAGCGACAGAGGGAGAGAGAAAGTGAGAGAGAAAGAGGGCGTTCGTACGCGTGCGCGGTTGAGTGCCCTATACGAGAACGAGACGAACTTTATCTAGAAAAGTATCTAGAGAAGCGTGAAATAAAAGGAAAAACATATACCATTCCGCAGCGAACGAGGTAAAAGGCGAAGTTAGAGTACGAAGTAAAGGGAGAATCTGAAAGAGTGCGACAGATATAGCGGGGACAGCGATGGTAGACGATGATAAACGACTTTGAGGCGATGATGGAGATCCGTCGTTGTATACATATGCGTGTACCTATGTATGTATGTATATAAGTATATGTGTGTGTGTACCGCGAAGGTATCCGCAAGAACAGCGCGTCTTTACAACTGGCAGTGTAAGGCATACAGAGTGCTTAAGACTAGAATACAGTGCAGTAAATAGGCCACTTAAAGCCTGTTCAAACTAACTCCTATATATGTTTTAACGAACCTACGAAAAAACGTGCCCGTGTAACGCGACGACGAATTACACGAGCTCCCGTGACACGAAAGAGATCTTTCTCTGCGGATGACCGATTTTATCTAACCTCTTTCTCGCTCTCGTTTAACGCTGTCTTCTTTCTGAACTTTTTTTTTCAACTTACTTTTTTTTGTTTTTTTTTTTGTTTTCAATTAATTTCGTTTTGTTTCCAATGCATGGGCGAACGAATAAAAAATTGACGCGTTACGATCAAACATGGCTACTTACTTCACGGAGACTCGGTAAGCACGCGTTGGCTCTCGAAAAAAGAAAAAGAAACTAACCGCGAAGCTCGAGAGGTAAACACCAGGACCGGAACGATGCACGGGTGCCATAGGGGCCCCTGTCGGCTGATAGTCTTCAGGGGCTAAGTAACGGCGTTTATTTGTAAATGCTCAAAAAGTAAGTACTAGAGATTGAACGACTTCAATGTACTGTACGCGAATACGTGTAAACATAGAGAATGTCGATAAATAAAATGCACGAAGAGAAATCGAACCGGTTTCTGGTCGGGTTAAGTAATCGTTAAAAAATTAATTAACGAATTAAAATTTACGAATATCGCTACTAACTAACATACATTTATATAAATACACGAAAAGAAATCGAAAAATTCTTCGCCAGTTTTTCATCTGATCACTTAATTATTAAAAAATTTACGAATTGAAATTTACGCTCCTGGCTGACCTACGTATATATATATACAGTTTTCGTTTGTATACTCACAGTACCTGTAGCCCAGGGATACGCGCGATCGTAATCCGGCCCTGGGTAACACATGTATCGACACGTCACTCATTCCACTCCTTCCACTATGACGCGCGTCGCACGACTGACGGGTCGCGAGGAGACCCGCGGCGCGCGCAGCCGTCTCACTCTGGCTCCCCACTCCGCGCCGCGAGTTATACGGTCTGTTGTTGCGCACGCGCGACGGGCCCGACTCGCGGACTCCAGTGCCGTACTTTGAACACGTGTCTCTTACGCGCGATTTTAATATATCTGTGTGTGTATGTATGTATGCGTGTGTACGTGTATCTTTTTGAAATCTCTAGCGCTTCGCGCGATCGAACAGCATTGGGCAGCGGAGACGTTTCAATTCATTGACTCGACCTACCGATGGCTTAAAGCCAGAGATGGACAAAATTTGGTATTCGTTCGCCGCTCGATATTTCGTTCTACCGATCGATCTGGATATTTTGCCCATCTCTGTTCAGAAAACACGTGCGTTCCTGGTTCGAAATCGATAAGTCCTGAGAATAATTACGGTATAGCCACGCGACAAAAAATAAAAAAACGGAATTCTTTATCGTTCTAAAAAAAAAAAAAACAAAAACAAGGTATCTCTTTGGAAAAAATGGTTCATTTTCACGTCTTTTACGTTCGGGGGATAGGTCGTAGCTACATATATTTATTACTAAAAGTACATGCAAGTTTTCGTACCGTGGCGTGATTACGTCTTTACTATCAGGATCTTTGTATCGATTTAAGCGTAATTAATGGCAATGTCGTGGCGTATCTGTTTTTCCTTTCTTTTTATTTTTTAAATTCCGCTTTACTTTTCGTCGTATACCACTTTCCACGTGCGCCTACATTCCTTTCCATTCGTCGGATAACCCTCTCCGTTAATCCCGTTTGAATTCGCGCGACGTTACCGACAGGAACAAGAATCGGCACGGTATTCTCTCAAACGTTTCCCCGTGTAGTTCTATCCATCGAACCCTTCGTTACTCCTTTCGTTCCTTTTTTTTCTTCTCCTTTTAAGTTTTACACGCGAAGTAAGGCTAAAAAACAATGCGCATTCGTGTTTTTTTTTGCATATTATTATTATTATTATTTTTTTTTTTTGTTAACTTTGTTTTCGGTAAGGCACCCCCAGGGCTGAGTATATTCACGGAAGTATTCAGCGATATAAACTAGTGACTAGATCATCCTTAAGTCACGCGAGAAAGACGGAAAGAGGGGAGCGAAAAATAGGGGAAGCGAGAGAGGAGTGTCGCGAAGTATTGTGCGAGGTAACGAGACCAGAGAAGGGCAAAATTTCGATCGAATGTCAGACGATTGGTCGAGAGATGAGACGAAGGGGTAAGGAGTACCCACTTTTTGTCTCTTGCGGTACGGCACTGGCGACGACTCGCGCGCCACCTGTTGCTTCCGCGAGCGGAGCCGAGAGATAGACAGAGAGCACTCCCCCACTCCTCGTCTCTCGTGAAACGGGACTAGCGACTCGCGCGCCAGCTATTGCTTCCGCGAGCGGAGCCGAGAGACA